GAGAGGAGAGAGGAGGGAATGAGCAAACTTGGTAGGAGGGGACGAGGAAGCTTGGCAGGAGGCGGAGGTATTTGTGACGTGAAAAGGAAAAAAGTAATTATCAAGGAGCAGAAATCAGCTATTTTTTGGACGAAATGAACAAAGGTGATCCGATTCGGAAACATAATGAAAGTCTTATAAAACGCATAAGGGGAAAGCAGGACAGAACCTGATTTTCCCTAAACAGTGCTATTTATGTAAGCGTGTCCTTCACGTAGGAAGCGTCAGAATATAGGAATGACTTGTTTTTTTCTGGAAATTCAAAACAAAACTCTTCAGATTTTCACCATTTCCTTTCCAGTAGATCATTGGCACGAGCTACCGATCGAGTTACTTCCCAGCGCTTCCTTTTCTCATAAAACAGTGAATAGAGGAGGTGCAAGCAGAAAGGTGGGTAAGTGGCTAGTGAATTAGCAAGAGCAGTTTTTCAGTGTTTCATTGAGAATTCAGTCTTTTTATTTTCATCACTGTTTACTTTCTGCCCAAGCTATACTAAATTATTTGAGGGGGAATGCGGGCGTTGCCGAAAGGCGAATTGCTATGCCATGATTTATGGCTTTGTTTTTCAAAACAAATTGTTCGAAGCGTTGTTTGAATGAGTCGTTTTTGAACATCGTACCTTTTATCTCTTACCATTAAAAATAAAGAACGATTGAGGAGCCGAGACACATGTCAAGAGCAAGCATCTGGTTGGGGCGGGCAGGGCTTCTCGGCAAAATGTTTCTCTTTTTTACTACAGCGACGATTACCTGTACTTTGAGTAGTCTCTGTATCAGATCGATTGCCTCTCGGGAAATCTGTCGCCAAGGTTCAGCTGGGAACATAAATGCAGCGTTTTGTATTTGTTCCGCAATTTCCTCGCCATCATTAAAGGGGAATGTGCCGCTCAGAGTTACATAAATGATAACACCAACTGACCACATGTCCAATGACTTATTGTAGCCTGAAATTTTCAATAAGAATTCAAAATCTAGCAGTAACTTTGCACTGAATATTCATGCAGTTTTATTTGTCAAAATCCAAACCTCGCTTCTGGAGAACCTCGGGAGCCAAATAAGCCGGCGTACCAACGATTGTTTTCCTGAATTATAGCTATTAGAATAAGAGCAACTGATTGTTGTTTTATGCTGTCAACTAACTTCTCGCGTTCTCTGAGCTAAGGTATACCTGAACTGAGCATCGCCAATAAATCGAGCGTAGCCGAAATCGCATAATTTAGTTTGAGGAAAGGCGTTGACGAGATCAGACAATAAGACATTTTCAGGTTTGAGATCGCAGTGCGCAATACCCTTTGAATGTAAATATCGAAGGGCAGACAAAATTTGCATTATTAAAAATTTGGTCACTCGCTCATCCAAACGTCCTGCTGCCTGAAAATGAAGAGTATTGCAAAAAGCTGCAGAAAATTGCTTTGGTTTTTCAAGTAGCTCCAGAAGCAAAATTTTCAGATATGAAGTTTTAACATCTAAAGATTATATTTTCACCATTTAAGAATTAAAGATTTACAAAGAGAATTTTGTTATTAGTGTTCGATGACACGTACTGGTCCACAAAGCATTAGGTTTGAAGAATAAAATGGCGGTTCCTTCCCCTCCTGTTCACCGAAAAGGCAGATGAAGATTTAACTAAGGCGCAAAATCTGGCCAACAACTAAAAATGCTAAAATGTGAAGAAAAAGCAAAAGGATGGAAACTGCAAAGAAACCTGGCTCAAAATCATCTCCAGCATATCACCATTCATTTTTTCCATTACGACAAAAATTTTATCCTTCGTTTCGAACATCGATTCCAGCTTGATGATCCCGGAATGGCAAATCGATTGCAGTATCGCCACTTCACTTCGCAGGGTCTCAACACCTGCCGAGGATTTCTTCGAAAAGCGATCTTTTGCTATTACCTGCAAATTTTTTAAAAAATCAGTCGAAAATCCAGGACCTGAGAATTCCTGCTTTAGTGGACAGCAGATTGTGCAGTAAAACAGGAATTATCCAATAAAAAAGACAAATCGCCATAAAATTGACCAGTGTCAGGCACTGGAATCAAGGATTAGGCTGATGGTGATTCTTTTCAATTGAAATTCTTGGAATAGCAGTTGTTTAATATATAACTATTTGTTCGCCGGCCTGATAGCTAACTTCATGCCCTGCATAACATTTACCTGGTACTTTGCAAATAAAAAAAAATTATGCGATAAGGCGTAACTTTTCGCACACACAAAAAGTTTTCATTTTCTGCCACTTTTATCGAAAACTTTTTTTAGGAAAAGACCATAAGTTGCAAACCTGATGCAACAAGTCATGTTGAAATAGAAAAGTTTACTTTAACGGCAACTTCTCGACCACTTTGTCGATGAACACCTGCATACACAGTGCCAAACTGTCCCGATCCGAGAGTTTTGTCGCTCAGAATCTTAACAGAAAAATCTTAATGCTTCGAATTCGATAGCAAGAGAGTATGATTAATTCATTCCAGTAGGCTGCAGAGAGGCGCCAAGTGGAAGACCAGCGCGAAAACATGCATTTTTAGCGATTTGTGTCCTGTGAGGCTCGGAGAAAGAATTTTGTCATGCTAAAATTTTCTGCAGCAACTTTTAAATCGCCAAAATTTTACAGTTTGTGTCCTCTGTTTGCAGCTAATTTCATTTTGAATTTGTGGCTTCAGCTGAAATCTGATTTCAACTTAAATCCGAGCCCATGTCAGAAATAGAAAAATTTAGAGTGATATTTGGATACGGCAACATCGCCGTTCAGATGACAAGTGAAAGCCAAAAACTCAAATCCCAGACTTCTTTAAGTGCATAAGAAAATTCACTTCTTAAGTTCAACAATTTGTATATATGAAACTTTTATACTTTTTTATGAATTTTAAGAGGATGCTTTCATATTTGAAATGCACACACACACGCACACACACACACACATACACATACAACAGACACACCACATATCACATACACATACACAAAAAAAGTACACGCATTTGTACGCAAAACCGTCAAACCCCCACCAATCTGCGCTTTTTGCATCCATTCCAATTAAAAAAAAAAAAAACACAATAAAAAGATGATATCAGATGTATAAATTATTTGAAGACTTTGGTGTTACCTGGTATAGTTCAGTGAATTGCAAGGCAGGCTCCACATTCGACGAATCATTTCTAGACGGCGGTGGCCTCAGTGCTTGTTGTAATGCCTGCTCAACAAAATATAGGTAGTCCTTGATTTTAATGGTAAAAAATACTTTTTGACAATAAAAATGCTTGGAAAAAACCCCTAAAAATAATCTGCGTCGTACTAATTGCTTGAAAAGCAATATTATTTTGCTCAAATTTTCTCAGGATACAAAGTGCCTAGCTGGAAATACAATATACCTGGAACCACATCTGTGCGTTTGAATTACTTTTACCGCTTGCATGGCGTGGGACCTTTGTAGGCGGCGCACCATATGCATCAAGGTTTTCACCAATGCAATATACCATGTGCGATGTCGTTCGAATTTCAAAGCAGTGAGCTGGATAGCTGAAATGTAACAGTCGCAGGAAAAGTTCAAATAGGCTATCGGCAGTGAGTAAGAAAATTTCGAAAAAATAAGAGAATACGAAAGTCACAGACAAAAGTTTGGGACATTATATGCTGCAATTGGGCGAGTGCTGAGGACGATTCGTGTCGACGCTTCAGTACGTCACGTCTAGTGGGAGCGTTTTTTTTACGATGTAGGAGTTGATTTTACATTTCAGGATGCACATGTGGTCGAAAATCAGCCATGTTTCCAAATTTCAGCTTCTTGGCTTTCGTAGTTTGAGAACTGACTTACGACCACATAAAAGCGCTCAAAAATGTGTTGTTTAACTCCAGCGGTCATTTAGAACAATGGCAGGGGAAAACAACAGGAAAATTTGGGCAAGAAAAAACGCAACAGCACAGAGATAACGCAGAACAATAGTTACGCAAAAAAGAACGTACCTAAAACCATTAACATTACTCGGATAAGAGCGCTTCCCCTCGGATAAGAGCGGTTGCAGAAAGTGGCATGCCGTTTTTGATTTATAAGATTTGCCCGAGTTTGGATTTGCAATCGAAAGACAGGGTGTTTTCTATCATGACTATTCCAAAGTTGAAGCAGGAGATCAAAGAACAGGCACAAGCAGATACAGCCCATTTTGATGCATTTTCGCATTTTGATATAGCACAAAAGCAAAGTGAAAAAGATACCCGGAATGCACAGGAGGTCCATTGTAAGGCGTCAGCACCAAGATTTCTCCCAGAGGAATTGTCTGGTAAATGCGATGTGGATTAACACCTGCAAATAAATTTTTTTATGCTTTCAGATTTTGTAAATGCTTATTTGCCGGAAATGTATTCCTCAAGAACTAAAACATGTGATGCCTTTTTGTACACAGGACGAATTTCTAATTTTACTTTTGGGAATTGGAATGTACGAAAACACAGTACCTTCATTGTATTCATTGTACATACTGAGAGCACAACCGGTCAAAATCCAGTAGTGCCTAAGGCGTCGTTCCGGTTGATCCAGCATGAAATGTATCATCCAACCCTCCGCCAACGGCTGTCGATTGGCAGTTCTTGTTGATGCTTGGCCTGTAGATGTTTTTAGATTATTTTTTATCTGAGACATATTTCAACAAACTCAATCACAAATTAGAATTATATAGATATGTAGGAATATAAGCATGCAAGTATGTATGCATGTAGGTGTTTGTATGTATGTGTGTCTGTGAATATGTGTGAGTGTGTGTGCGCGTGTGTTCGTGTGTGGGTGAGTGTGTGTACCGGGGTCAGCGAACTGTATTACCAGAATGCTACTAGAAATCCATTATCTTATATTTCTATAACGCTGCAATGGAAAAATCAAGTTGCTTAGATGAGAATGCTAGAACTTTCGCTTTAGATTTACTAAAGCAGATCACCGCTAAAAGGTATCTAGCAGCGATTGTTTTCAATGATTTTTCGCTTTTATCACCCATGCTGTAATAAACTCGCATGCTTTTCCCACATGGCGCTTTTTACGAAGCAAAACATCATTACCAGTTACACATTTGAAACAGTACCTAGCACGAAAGCTGAACTTAGTATGATAAAGATAAATCACAGTGGTGGCTGTGATCAGTACCGCCCGTTCTCAAGAAAGCGCACTGATTTCTTTAAACGTACCTGCATCCTTATTTTAACGTGCCACCAAGGGATTGCCGAAAAAAAGTCAGCAAGGCGTGCTGGATTTCTTAATGAAAACATTATTAATTATTGCTGAATGATTACTTCACCTCCTTCATGTGGGAATTTGGATTATAGGGCTTTGGCAAACCGCTAAATCTGATGGTACCATATTCAGCTTAATATAGCACCTGGTAATCGGACAAGTGGAATCATGGAATCGCTTCCTTCATTCGCTACTTCGTCGTATGTTCCTGAAACTAGCGATGTATCGTCGCCGACACTAAGCTGATCGAACGATGGTGTTATACCGCCGTCTGCTATCTGGCAATTCATTGGCAGTAGCGAAGCACACTTCTTGTGCACATTGACCTAAAACGGTTCCAAAAATTTCGGTGTCCTTTACGTGAAGAAAGCTTGAACTCATCTTTTTGAAAAATTCTCAGATTTTGCGTCCGATTTTTGAATTTTTCAAAAAATCCATAAATTTGAATTCATTTTTAAAACCCTCGTTAATACCTTGCAGTCGCGACATCGCAGTCCTTGCTTGATCAAGCCAATTAGCATTTTATCGCATACTTTGCAGACAGTTAATGTTTTGTAATTATGCACAGCCAACGTATGTGGTAGCGCAAAAACAGCACCAGGCTGACATAGCTGCTCATCTGTAAGTGCTTTAGAAATTTATCTGTCAAAAATTCTATACAAAATTTGTTTTTTAAAAAAAAATATTCATGTAGCTTAAAAAACCACGAAATTTATTTCAAGCTGTCAACGGTCTATAACGCGCATACGGAAAAGGGCGGAACTTTTGATATGTGGAAAAAGGACAAAATTCAGTGTGGCGAAATCAATAATTAGCTAAAAAGCTGAAACTGAATTAAAGCGTACTAAATTCAAACACTACTATTGGAAATTGATAGGAAATGAGAAGCACAACTTCACTGAAATGACGGGCAAGCGAGAAAAAGGAAATTGGGGGAGGGAGGACTTAGGACTTAAGTGAGAAAAGAGAAAAAGGAAGCAAAAATCTGATGGTGCCTCATTTTTTTTAAAGATTCGGTAGATGTGGCTATTTTTGTGTATTTGTTTGACACACCGCTTAGAAAGCAAAATTTTTAATTCTGTTTTTCTAGCTTCGCTCTTAGTAAAAATGCCAGATGCAATGCATACCTGTAGGTGTGGAGTTTGGGTAAATTGCGGTTAAATTATTCTTGGCGCAATTGTTCCTTGGTGCAAATGCGCACTTTTTGTGGAAATTGCATCTGAAACATCAGGCTGATGTAAAATTATGACGTACTCATAATGCGAACGTGTTTCACGTTTTAAAAAAGCCCGCAGAAAGAAAAGTCAAAAAAATTAAATTTTAATTTAGCGAAACCTGCATTTAGCGCATTGCAGTCCCTGTTTGATAAGACCAACAAGAATTTCGCCGCAGTAGTCGCAGAATGTCGGAGTAATATACGACGTAACAGCGAGTATATGGGGTCGTGTAGGTCGCTCGTTACGGTCTATTAAAATTATTTCCACTACGCAACCGTTATCCTAAAGTACCTTTCTGATTACTGCGATGAAAAGTTTCTTATATGCAGACTTGGATATGCTGAAGTTTTTGCTTCATTTTCACCACCAATGCCTTTTCCCCTCTTTTCGTAGCTTGCTTGGGAATCGTGACCCGTCTTGGGGGTTACCACTTCTAAAGCCAGACTTTCATGGAAGTACTTGGCACGTGGAAGTACGTGACCTGATACGGGTGAGGCAGTAGCAATGAGAGCTAGACAAGTGTGAAAGTAATTGCTAAAACTAGCTCCACTCCTCAAACTTGTATTGCTTCGTATGGACACTTCTTTTTATATTCAAATTTTTGACATCGTTTATGATCTTGATAATCTGGAAATTACTCTTCTTATTCTGATTTGTTTGATAAAATTCAGTTTTGTAAGCTAGATTAACTTGGAGTACGAACTGAGCACTTTTTCATGATCCGCAGAAACCGGTTTCAAACCTTGGTTTCAAACTCAAGCACTGCCATTGTTTAGAAGCTGTTTGAGTTGAGATATTAGGCCCCGTAAACACGACTGAAATCTATGGCAGGGTTTGTGGAAATAATTTTGGACGATGTATTACAAACCAAGAACAATTAATAATTCGGTTTTTATGTGTGCCCTTAAAAAAGCTATGAATTTTAGATACGCTTTTTGGAAAGTCTCAAAGCACAGGTTCGAGACTGAAGATTTCCTCAACTTTAAGCCCTATTGTTCTGCCAAAAAATGGTATGCAGCTGCTAATTTCACTTAAGAAACAAAGGCTGGAACGCACCAGGCGAGCCGGTGCGATCATGCGTTTTTGCATCAAAACTAA